CCTGCATATTCTGTCTCATCAAGACTTTCTGCCCATCCTTTGTTCCCTTTTGCTTCTACTTCATCAAAGTCTACACAGGTGAGTATTTTTGAATCCCATTTTCTTTCCAGTACCATCCATATTAAACTTTGCCATCAATTCATTTTTTACCTGTCAAGATAAAGAGAGAAAAGAAAATCTTCACCAGCCGAGATATCTGAAAGCATTTAGAAAAACACATAAGTTAAACTGCATAAGTAAGTCATGCATTACATCTTTCAAATCAAATATCATCGCAAATACCAACGGAATATTGAAGAATGCCATACATTGTAGATAAAGTATCCACTAAGTGAGTGCAGGGAATTCTTCCAGGTGGGTTTTAGGGAATGTACTGTCGGCAACATGTATTTGCAAGTCGCTGTTTTTGGCAGTATGTGCGGATGATGCTAAGAATACGAATGGAGTCCTCTTGGCATCAGGATGGTGCTATTTACCGAAACCAACAATTCGAATGTGGTCTATCAGCAGTGTCACTGGACTATAACACTGGAATTTCATAACCCACACTGTGATATCCATTTAGGCCTACTGAATTTTACAGAACCATGGCTGGGAAATGTTCGTTTGCTGACTAATAATGAAAACATGCTGACTTTGGTTCGTGTACATCCACTGAACTTTTCTGTTAACAGTTCCATGGACTCTTGCACGTGATACTCTTTCAAATGAATGCAAAATTGTAGGTGGATAGCATAATTACCTTCAAGAAGGGGATTTTTCCCCCAGTCGAAAAACTGTCATCTTCTTCGTCTTTTCAAACACAGTAGTTGTCATAGTCCACCAGCGGATATGGCTAGTCTCCCTTTCATGTCATTTTGTGTCATACATGTACATTGTACGTCCTACCGAGTTTATGCTGCTTATGGAAATTGCACCCAAATGTGCACCCGAGAAGAGGCATGATATAACCGCGCAGATGTTATATTAATTAAAGACGACTTAAAACAGGCTGGTATTGCTGTGTGCATGTGTATTTTAATGATAGCATCAGTAGTTTTATGGATGTGTGGTGGACGTGTCCGCATAACTTGGCTACAATTGGAAATAACTCATGACTGTTATGGGAACTGACACCAGCCACTCGTGTATAATTTTTGGGCTGTAGCCAAGTGACTCGGACACGGCATTTTCTGCATATCATGCATGCATGCAGTGTACAGGTCTAATTTTGTATGTGCACATATTGTACAGTACACGTCGGTATCACGATGCAGGTATTGTGACCTTATGGATTCATTGGGTTTCCAATCAATAATTTGGACTTAATGTACTCACAAAAAGTCAGATGTACAGTATGATATACAATAACCTTTTGCTTCTGTCCTTCATTTGTTGTAATCCATCAGGCAAACTCTCATTCTCTTTTAACATTGTTTAACAGCTGATCAATAGTTTCATTTTGTTTCTGTACCTTCTGATGAACCTCTTCGCACTCTTTTTTTGAGAGATTCTGTTTATGTTTCTGTCAGTGGTTTGTTCACTGAATCATCTGGCTGCTGCTCCTCCATTCTTGGCATTTTCTGAAAATCAGAGAGCAGGGACCACTTCATTTTCTTTTCTGGTGACGATCGAGAAGTCA